GACTGATGAGGTCCTCAGGTGGTCCTGTGGGGACTGATGAGGTCCTCAGGTGGTCCTGTGGGGGACTGATGAGGGCCTCATGTGGTCCTGTGGGGGACTGATGAGGGCCTCATGTGGTCCTGTGGGGACTGATGAGGTCCTCAGGTGGTCCTGTGGGGGACTGATGAGGGCCTCATGTGGTCCTGTGGGGACAGATGAGGGCCTCAGGTGGTCCTGTGGGGACAGATGAGGTCCTCAGGTGGTCCTGTGGGGACTGATGAGGTCCTCAGGTGGTCATGTGGGGACAGATGAGGTCCTCAGGTGGTCCTGTGGGGACAGATGAGGTCCTCAGGTGGTCCTGTGGGGACTGATGAGGTCCTCAGGTGGTCCTGTGGGGGACTGATGAGGGCCTCAGGTGGTCCTGTGGGGACTGATGAGGTCCTCAGGTGGTCCTGTGGGGGACTGATGAGGGCCTCATGTGGTCCTGTGGGGACAGATGAGGCCCTCAGTTGGTCCTGTGGGGGACTGATGAGGGCCTCAGTTGGTCCTGTGGGGACTGATGAGGGTCCTCAGGTGGTCCTGTGGGGACTGATGAGGTCCTCAGTTGGTCCTGTGGGGATTGATGAGGGCCTCAGGTGGTCCTGTGGGGACTGATGAGGTCCTCAGGTGGTCCTGTGGGGACTGATGAGGTCCTCAGGTGGTCCTGTGGGGACTGATGAGGTCTTCAGGTGGTCATGTGGGGACAGACTGGTTCCTCAGGTGATCCTGTGGGCTGAGGGGTCAATTTGCCTGGTTATTCTATAGAACGGCTGGCTCCTCTGCAGTCCTAGATCTGGTTGTATGGGCTCTCCTCAGGTTTCATTTTCTGGCAAACAGAAAGTGCCTTAGAAATTTCTGTTCGACAGAGACTGATACCTTTGGCTTAAGACTCATGAGAGCTTCAGCCGCAGGGAAGGAGAGCTACCCGACCTCTCCTCTTGGCACACACCTGGCCTTGTATTCTCAGGTTCATTGGAGAGCAGTTGCTGCTACTGATCAGTCTGGTCCAAGAAGCAGAACAAGGCAGCTCTGAGCAGATAGGGTCTGAATCACGGACTCCAAGTCCAGCTGCCTAGCCTGGAGTCCACTCTGCTTCTGGCCTGGTGGGCCTCTGTGGGCAGTCACTGACCTCTCTGGCCTCACTTGTAAAATTGGACTTTTCAGTACCTTTCTCTCAGGTTTGCAGTGAAGATCCAGGAATTGACATTTGTAAGGTTCTTATGTCAATGACCGACACATTTGGGAAGTCACTTGGGAGGTGTGGAAAGGTTCAGTGTCACTAAATAAATTAACAAATTTCCCAACTGACTTCTTGCCTTGCTAGATGCCCTTGCCAGTTTCAAAAGTTTCCTGCGGTCTGAGTTCAGTGAAGAGAACCTTGAGTTCTGGCTGGCCTGTGAGGACTACAAGAAGATCCAGTCACCTGTGGAGATGGCGGAGAGGGCAAAGCAAATCTACAAGGAATTCATCCAAACCGAGGCTCCTAAGGAGGTGGGTCCTGGTGGCAGGTGGGTGGGCACCATTAGCCAGGGTCCACTGGCCCCCAGGATGGCTCCAGCTGAGATACGGCCAGCGCTGGAGCTCAGGTCTGCTCCTGGTGGCACAGTGTTGCCCAGGGCAACACTGGAGCTCTCGATTCTGTCTGGCCAATTTCCACCCCTGGCCCCATGCCCTGGTGTGAGCAGTAAGCTGCAATCTTGGAGGAATTGCTGTCTCTCTAACCTAGTTCCTCTCCTTGTGAAACAGGAATAAAGGAGACTGCTTTGTAGAGTTGTTGGAGGATTAAATCAGGCTTGGAAGCACCCACCCCAGTGTCTGGACTAATGGTGCCCCCGAGCATCCCGCCTCTGTCCCACACTGTCTTTATGCCCCTAACCCTAACCCTGCAGCTCCTTCCCCCTCCTCCCTACTCTCCCATCCTATTTCCCCTGCCTCTGGCCTTGGGCATCTCCTCTGTCCTTGGGACCACAGGACCAGACTTCAGTCTATGAAAGCAGCACAGATAGCCGCTCGACATGGAGCCCATGTGCCCCTGGCTGAGCCCGCAAGACCGGCTCTGATTCAGCCATGAGGAGACTTTGAGGGAGTTTGTTTTTTTCTTGCTATTACTGAAACCAAACTTCAAACCTGACCAGGAAGTGCAGACACAGCAGCAAGGACGTCAGTGCTGTGTCAGGCCACTCTAAACCAGCCTGGACACTAGGGGTCTCAGCGAGACTGGCGGAGCATGCCTTCAGGCAGCAACAGTGCCTTCACGGTGACTGGCAGGGAATCCCACTGCCCTCTGCTCCCCAGGACCAAGAGCTGCAGTCACAGCATCAATTGTTAGTTCCTTTGTAATCCCTCTCTGGCCTTTGTAATCCCTCTCTGGTCCATGTATCTGGATGGATGGCAAATTCCACACCAGTGGCCATCAGGCCAGGAGTGCAGAGGACCTTGGGCAGTCCAGGAGCTGAAAGGTGTTGGAGGGAACTGGGATCCCTCTCTGTGCTCTGAGCTCTGGAATACCCTGCTTGCCTTCCGCTCCTCCATGCCCACTGTGAGCTCTCCCTCCTGGGCTGCCATTTGGGTCCAGCATCCTATTTCTGTCCCTATGGACTCTACGTACAGTGAGCAGGTGAACTGGAATGGAGGTTATGTTGGAGTTAGGTTAGGACCACACTCCCTATTCCCAGTATATTCTCCTCTGCAGCTTGCATTCCTATTGTCGTCATTCCTATTCATAGGATTCTAAGATTTGTTGAATATCTAAAAATGGTGGAAATCACCCAGACCTTTGAAAGTTGTTCTAAGCTCCAGGAAAACATTGCTCTCAAGGTCCCTTTGAAGTTATCATTGGTATGAAAATATGATTCTTAAATAGTTTCAAAATAAATCCTGGCTGAATAACCTACTAGAACAAGAAAACAGAGGACACGAACCACAAGCTTCCAATTAAAATAACATAGACCTCGCTTGTAAATGACACAGGCTGATGGAATGGAATAATCCTATGCATGGATTCCCAACGCAGGCCCTGCATTGTGAGCCAGAGAGGGCAGTAGGGAGGTAGATACCGTCTCCTGGGTAACCAGCCATGGCAAAGAGGTGGATTTTGCTCCCTGATAATAAGGCAGAGCAGAGGACAGGAAAGGTGATTCTGCCCCTGGTATGAGCAAGAGCAGGGCACCAGAGAAGTATTTTCTGCCTCTTGTAAATGAGCCAGAGCAGGGTATCAAGGAGGTGGATCCTATCGCCTGGTAAAGAGCCAGAGAAGGGCAGCAGAGAGGTGGACCCTGCCCCATGGTAATGAGACAAAGAGAAAGATCCTAAATGAGCCAGAGCAAGACACCAAGGAGATGAATCCTGCACCTGAGACAGAGCAGGACAGCAGAGAGGTGGATACTGTCCCCTGGGTAATGAGCCAGAGCAGGACAGCAGAGAGGTGGATCCTGACCCTGGTAATGAGCCAGAGCAGAACAGCAGAGAGGTGGATCCTGTCCCTGGGTAATGAGCCAGAGCAGGACAGCAGAGAGGTGGATCCTGACCCTGGTAATGAGCCAGATCAGGACAGCAGAGAGGTGGATCCTGACCCTGGTAANATCCTGACCCTGGTAATGAGCCAGATCAGGACAGCAGAGAGGTGGATCCTGACCCTGGTAATGAGCCAGAGCAGGACAGCAGAGAGGTGGATCCTACCCCTGGGTAATGAGCCAGAGCAGAACAGCAGAGAGGTGGATCCTGACCCCTGGGTAATGAGCCAGAGCAGGACAGCAGAGAGGTGGTCCTTCTTGGGCATTGGCACACCAGGACTGTCTGGCTAATGTTCCTGAGGTCAGTGGATGCCTGTATCCAACAGACCCATACTAGATGTGTGGCTTTGTGCAATTCTCTCAGGCCTGTGTTCTCTCAGAGCTTGTTTCTCTTGACTATGGACATTTTGCATTCATCTATGTTTAATAAATTTTGCTAATCTTGCATTTTGATGTAAATATTCACTTTTTCAGTTTGAAAAGATTGATCTATATTACGTAGTCATCCAAGTGTTTTGTTTCTCTGAATTTTTACTTCAGCTCGCTTTTCAGGATCTGAGAGATACAATCGTAGAGATTGGAATTAAGATTTTTTTAAAATGAAATGAAATGGCCATGTGCAGCTGATTATGGAGACAACTTGTGCATTGCATCATTTGCCTACATCTAAATTATATTTTTTAAAGAGAGAGAGAAAGAGAGAGAGAGAGAGAATCTTTTTTTTTTTTTTTTTTTTTTTT